CACACACACACTCACAGTAAGAGCTATATATGACGTAGCTACACAACCCGCCCTCTAGGAGACCTCACCTCTTGATCTGCCATGCAGCTGAAGACTTGGTTCCTGTATCCTCTGGAAACTTCAGTCTCTGATCGGTTTACCTGTCACCAAAGGAGGCATAGGAGAATGATCCTTGTTCAGCAGCTCCTTCACATACCTTTAAAGATCTTTCATACCCTGACCTATTCTCCCCTCAATTTCGTCTTCCTGATTAATAATGGGAACTGCCTATTTGACAATCTACCTCCCACCTCACCCTCAGTATCAGCTTTCTTGACAAGCACAGGCTGACATGAAAAGTAAATGAATGAACAAGTGAATGAATGAATGAAAAGCACTGTGCTTTTTGAACTGCTTACTTATGTACCAGAACCATGCTTGGCAACATGCTGGTTTAGGGGTGATGAGAAGTCAAGAGTAAAGGATGACCCATGTGTGGGCCTGTGAGTGAGAGGATGGTTGTACCTTCAGCAGGTATAAGGAATTTTGAAAGGAAAGAATGTTGAGGGAGAGAGATATAAAGAGTTCTGTTTGGATATGCTGAATTTAAGATCTACAGGACATCCAGTTTTATACGTCCAATGGGCAAGTTTTAGATTCAAGACTGGAGGCCAGCAGAGAGGTTTGGATTGGACAAGAAGATATGAGAATCATCTCAATAGAGATGATCATTGACTCCATGGGAACTGATGAGAGCACCAAGTGAAATAGTATTGAGATAGAAGAGAAAGCAGCTCAGGATGAAGCCCTGTGGGACCTCATGGGTACCAGGCATGACCTGGGTGAAGATCCAAACGATACTGAGATGGCGTGGCCATGGTGTGGTGCTCTGGGCAGGTGCTGTCCTTTACCTTTCTTTGTATTTCCAGTTCTTACTACAGTGCTGGCACACAATAGGCACTTATTAAATGTTTGTTGACTGATTAAAAGGAGATCCAGGAAGAAATAATGTCACAAAAACTCAGAGAGACAGAAGTATCAAGAGAAGGGTGAACAACAGTGTTAAGGGCTGGAAAGTGATCTGGAGAGGTGAGGACTGAGAAAAGGCCATTGGATTTGGCATCTAGAGATGTTAGCAACATCAGTGAGACAAGTTTCAGTTGAATGATAGGGCAGAAGGTCAACTGTAAAGAGTTAAGAAGAGAGAGGAAAGCAAATAGAGGTGACTATTGTAAATGCATGTTGAAGGAATTTACCACAAAGGGAGGTGATATATGGGATGATAATTAGAGAGGATGGATGGATCAGGGAGAGACTTTTTGGATGGGGGAGACAAGACATGTTTGTGGGCAGAGGGGAAGCATCCAGTACACAGGGAGATATTGAAGTGAGAGAATGGGGATGATAGAGCAGTCTGCTGGAGGAAATGGGCTGGAAGGGGCCCCCTTGTGCAGGTAGAGAGGGCTTTGGCTCAATAAGGAGTAAGCATATCTCTGTGTGAGACAGGGCTGGGGGAGGAGACAGGGGCACAAGGCATCTGAGTGATGTGAGAGGAAGTGGAGGGGTGAAGAAGGAGCTCTAGGGGAATGACCTCAATATTTTCAGTAAGATATGAGGCAAGGTTCTCAGCTGAGAGGGTGGGTGGGTGTGAGAAGGAGCATTGGAGGTCTGAGGAGGGGCAACAATTTTCTGAAGAGCCATGGTAGTGAGTGGGATAGTGAGTTAATTAGAGAAGTATAAAAAGATTGCCTTGGGGCTCCAGGAGTAGCTTTGTCAGAGCAGAGATGGAGCAGTTGCCATCTGGGAAATTAGTATACTGATGGGAGTGGGGGAAGGGAAGAGTAGCTTCATAGTCTGTGCTAGGCAGGCATGACCTCACTTGTTTTTCACAACTCCCCCCTGCAAGGATGTATTATTATCCCTATTTTACAGACGGGAAACCTGAGACTCAGACAACTTAGGTGTCAGAGATGGGCTGTGAACCCATGTTTGTTCAGTCTCCAAGTTGGTCATCCTGCCTGTCTGTTCAACCACAATGTTTTCCTTTTTGTAAATCAAGCAATCAAATCATTAAATACTTACAGAAATTCAGTCCATTCACTGGAAGGTCAAATGCTGAAGCTTAAAGACTGTGGCCCCACCAAGAGAAAATGGGATGCGTTGGAAAAGACCCTAATAATGGGAAACATAGAAGGCAAAAGGAAAAGGAAATGGTAGAGGATAATACGGATAAATAGTGTCATACAAACAATGAACATGAACTAGGACAGACTTCAGGAGACAGTGGAAGAAAGAAGGGCCTAGCATGTTGTGGTCCAAGGGGTCAAAAAGAGTTACACAAGATTGAATGACTGAACAACAACAATGAAGGAGAATGGCTATGAGGAGGAGTAGGTGAAACCTGGAAAACTGCCATGGAAGAAAAGGAGTTCCTACTTTAGGCTATTACCACATACTAGGGGCAGGTATAGGACTTTCACCACAGAAGGGTTGGAGTTTGGGTAGCTTGATGATTCAACCATCCAATTATCCGGTCCTAACCTCTCTGCATACAGCCAGCCTCACATCTCCAGCTGTCTACTGGGCATCTTCAATTGGATATTCTGTAGATATCTTGAACTCAGCATGTCCAACACTGAACTCATTATCTTACCCCCCCCAAAAAAAAAACCCCATCCCTCCTTCCTACTTAGCCTATAATTGTTAAGGGCAGCCCAGTATTGTCAACATCACCCAGACCACCCAGGCTTGCAAGCTAGGGATCATCCTAGATGTCTGACACTCTCTCACCTCCTCATATCCAATCTGTTGCCAAGATCTGTCCATTTCCCCTTCCTAATGTCTTCTGAATGCCCAGTTCTCTCATCTGGCACTGACAACACCCTGGTGTATTAAATTTAATTAAAATTAATACTTTAATTCACTACTGTTTGGAGAAATGCAAATTTAAACAATTCTGAGGTACTACCTCATAGCTATTAGATTGGCTAAGAGGACAGAAAAGGAACAGGATAGCTATTGGAGGGAATGTGGGGAAAATGAGACATTAATGCACTGCTGGTGGAGTTGTGAACAGATTCAAACATTCTGTAGAGCAATTTTGAACTATGTCCAAAGGGATATAACACTATCCTTACCCTTTGACCTAGCAATCCCAGTACTACGTATAAATCCCAAAAGAAATAAAAACCAAAAAGGAAAAGGACCTATATGTACAAATACATATATATATATGTATACACACACACACACACACACACACATATATATATATGTATATGAAAATATGTATAGCAGCACTTTTCTCAGGGCAAAAATTGGAAATTGAGGAGATGCCCATCAATTGGGGAATGGCTGAACAAGTTGCGATATGTGATTAAGATGGAATACTATTGTACTATAAGGAATAATAGGGGCAGCTAGGCGGCACAGTGGATAGAACTCCAGCCCTGGACTCAGGAGGACCTGAGTTCAAATCTGCCCTCAGGTACTTGACACTTCCTAGCTGTGTGACCCTGGGCAAGTCACTGAACCCCAATTTCCTCAGCAAGAAACAAAAAATGATGAGCAGGATCCTCTCAGAAAAGCCTGGAGATACATACATGAGCTGATGCAAAGTGAAATGGACTATGCACAAAGTAACAGCAACAGTGTAAGATGATCAGCTGTGAATGACTTAGGTATTCTCAACAATCCAACGATCCAAGACAACCCTGAAAGACTTATGCTGAAAAATGCTATCCATTCCCACAGAAAGAACTGATGGTGTCTAAATACAGACTGAAGCATACTTTTTAAACTTTATTTTTCTTGAGTTTTTTTTTCTTGTCTATGTTTTCTTTCACAACATGACTATTATGGATATGTTTTGCATGACTACACATGTATAGCCTCTATCAAATTTGCTTGCCTTCTCAATGAGGAGGTGTGGGGAGGGTGGAAGGGAGAGAATTTGGAACTAGAAGTCTCAAAAAGGAATGTTAACAATTGTTTTTATATGTAACTAGGAAGGGGCAGCTAGGTGGTGCAGTGGATAGAGCACCGGCCCTGAAGTCAGGAGGACCTGAGTTCAAATCCAGCCTCAGACCAAACAGTTGACACTTACTAGCTGTGTGACCCTGGGCAAGTCACTTAACCGCAACTGCCTAAGAAAACCCCCCAAAAACAAAAAAACCCCAAAATATATATTTATATGTAACTAGGAAAAAAGAAAATACTAAAAAAAAAGGAAATAAGTTATGCTGTTTTACTCTTTGAAATTTATGAAACTGTGAAAGGTAGCTAAACAAGTCTCAGGGATTGTATTATTTTTCAATATTAGATTATCAATAAAATATTTGATTTAAGAAAAGACCAGAGCTGAATAGGAAATTTAACTTTCAAATACAATACTAGAGAGAAGCATAAATAGGGAAATCATAAGGGACTTAATAAGGTTAAATAGGTTACCTTCCTGCATTGGAAGATGACACTTGTAACTCATAAGAAATTTCTCATCATTAGGGCAGTTAGGAGTATATATAGACCAAAGGCAGAGGTGTGAGTTGAATATGAAGGGATGATATCTCAAAAATAAAATTAAGGTGTGAGGAAGAGGAGTGCAGTGGGAGAAAGGGAATGGAAGAGGTAGAATGGGGGTAAAGTATCTGACATAAAATAGGCAAGAAAGAGCTTTAACAGTGAAGGGGAGGAGAGGAGAGGTGGCAGGGGGAACACTTGTACCTTACTCTTATCAGAATTTCCTCAGAGGGAATGACACACACACATGGTAACAGAAATCTATTTTATCCAAGAGAAAAGTAGGAGGGAAAGGAAGAAGAGAAGGGAGGTGGTGATAGAAGCAAGGACAGTATGGAGGAGGTGGTAGAAGCAAAACACTTAAGGAGGGACACAGTGAAAGTGTCGCAGACTTCTGAGTCCACTACGCAGTTATCCGGTGAGGCTGAAAAGAGTGAAAAAGAGAAAGAAGGAAAGAGAGAGAGAGAGAGAAAGAGAGAGAGAAAAAAATGTGGACCAGGGGGTAGCAAGTATAAACAAGCTCCGTTTATTGATCTCAGAGTTAGGGGTTTTACACCCCATTCGTGGGAACAGAATCAAGAATGGAAAAAACCAAGTATCAACAAGTAATTCTTCTCATGGTAACAGTCACTGGGGGCAGTAACCCCCCGGAATCATCTCCTCACTTCCCGATTATCTTTCAAAGTTTATTGACAAATCCTTCATCCTCTCAAGGGACAGACAGTGCCTGGAAGAGGTCGCAGAGCCTACGTTCTGACCGAGACGGCTCTTAGATAATGGACAGGAACACGAACATCCCGACATGACCTATTCCTCAAACCCATCAGTGCAAGCCTCAACAACCTCCCCCTCTGACTGTTAAACCTGAGAAGATGAAGGGATGAAAAAATCACCTAAAGTATGGGAGTGTATTTTAACAAGCAGGGAAGGAGGAAACACAAAATTAATACAAAACATAGCCAAGGTAAAAAATGTAACAGCAAACTTAATACATTCTTAAGAGGATTAAGTTGATCAATCCAATCTAACAATTTGTTTGCAATATCTTTAGGATCAATACCATCAATACAAGAATCAGCAATTTCATGTTGTATTTTGGATAGCTGATTAATGTCCCAGGTGATATTGTCAGAGTGCCATGCACCTTGGAGCTTATTTAATACTTGTTCGATAGTTACATTAGTAAAGTTTGAATACACATATGGAGTTACACAGATAAGCGAATAGCAATAATCACATTTCAAATTGAAGTGCATTTCTAATTGTTGTTATGTTTACCTAATGCAATTACTGATTGTTCTAAAAGATCCAATTCTTGTTGCACCATAGTATCTCTATAAATTTAATATTGTAAATCGTAGACCAATTGTTAGCATACTGAGCAGTTCAAAATTGGCAGTAATATCATGAAGGGTATTAACATTGAGGGTAATATTAGAATTGTGCCATGCCCTCAATAGGTGGGTAAGTCTCTTGTCTCATGAAGCATCATAGGGAGCAGGGTAATGTAAATATTCTATAATCACATTGCAATAGCAATCTTCTTTTCAAGAGATCTAACTTACAATGCTGATTGCTCTAATAAATTGACTTTATGCAATAACTCAGTTGCTTCTTAAGCTTTAAGTATTAAACACTGGTAAGTAATATACAATTTATGCAGTTTAAAATTTAAATTGAAGCACAATAGATAAAATAGTAGTAGATACAATAAAAGAAGCAACAATGATTGAACCAATAATAAGGAGACCAATAAATTGTTTTGATTGACTTAAGGAGGAAATACTAATTTTAGGAGCACGTTTTCCAGAGTTCTGGAACTGTTCATGTGAAATATTAGTAGGGAAAATAATAAATGATTATTGTTTTACCAAAAGTACAACATAGTCATTATGATCAATACATTGTTTGAGAGTACAACTGACACAAATAACATTCCAATTCAAAAATAGTATTAGATTGAATAAAATTTACATATCCATTAGACAAATAGGTATTAACAAATGATGTAAGAAAGAAAAGACATGATTCAATATTGTTGTTAAATTTTGAAAAACATATAAGTGTCCTGGATGCTAGAGATCTGAGGGTAACCATAACATTGACTTTGTCCTAGAGATAGGGATCTTCTTGTCTTCTGAATATACAGGTGTTATTAGTATATATATAGTACCAATTTGTCCATATTTGTGATAGGTTGCAACCAGGGTAGAAAAGGAAAAAGAAGTCCAGTGCTGACCATTCTGTACATTACAAACTTGAGCAGAAAGTAAAGCTACCATTGCTAAAAATACAAGTTCAGGAGTCTTTTATCACTTGACGAGAGGGAGCTTTCACTTGACCTCTATGTAGGAAGGCGACTCGTTTGGCTCCTTCTGCGCTTCCCCTGAATTCTCATACTCTGCATTCGAGCTGTGAGTTGTTACACACGCTCTGACATTTTTCTCCGGTATCCAGGCAGATTTCTCAAAGTTTTCTGAAAAATATATAAGCACACCCTCATCCCCTCATTAGTAATGGATCCAGTAATGGATCCGGGCCTCTGGATGATTTTAGGCTGAGGGGTACTCATCTTTGTTAATATTTAGAAAATTAATAGCCAATTGTCCATAAGGGGCAATAGCCCAGATTCCCCCTTTTGTGTAAAAAAAAATTTTTGATATTTTTGTTTTTAATTATATAAAATATTGGTGATTAGAGAAATGTAATTAAAAGAATAAATAGAAGAAAATGTTTAGTAACATATGTAGGAGTATTACTTATTTTAATTTGTGTAAGTACACTCAATAATTGTGAAGGCTTGTAAAATATGATTGATTACATGTTTTAATTGTTTCACTTGTTTGAAAAGTGGCAAAAATGAAAGAAGAAAAAATATCAATTATAACATGAATATAAGAAAGCTTTTCTAAAGAAGGCATATAAGTTACATTTGAATGCCAATTATGTTTGGGAGAAAAGCCTTTTGATATATATATATATATATATATATCAAATAGGCTATTAATTGAAAAACATAATCATTATTCTTTATACAATGTTTGTATTACTGTAGGAGTTTATTTAAAAATAGTCCCAAAATATTTTCTTCTCAATAGTTAAGGTGGTTGTATTGGCAGAATATAATCAATAAAAGGCTCAATAAAAACTTAATAAAAGGTCAAGTGTTAGCAATTAATAACTTGTAAAAGTGTTGGGTAGAAGTGTAATTAAGAATCAATAATGGTATTGCTTTTCAGTAAAAAGTCTGGACAAATTAAAATGTAGTTGTATGTAGGCAATAGAGATAAGGTAATAACATGAACAAAGTGACTTTTGAAGGTGGTATAAAGGGGCATATAATTGTGTATTAGTAATATATTTTAACTTTGCAGTCTCTATATTTTGAGAGACATAAATAGATTATTTGCTAGTAGAAACAATATTGATAAGCTCAGCAAAATCCTGTTATATATTTGTATATAACCCATTGGTGAACGCAGTGGGTGTTGAAGGAATGAGGTTAAATTTAACAATTTTTTGAAATACCCATGAATAATTCGTAAAAAGGGTTAATATTTTGAGAGATGGTTAGTGAATATCAATATTAATATGACCAGAAAAAATAATAACAGCAATTTGGCAATCTTTTAAAGAGGAAACAAGAGAGTCTATTTATTTTTTATTATAAAGTTGATGAATAACTGCAAATACATTTTCTGTAAATTAAAAATTGTAGAGGACACTGGAGTATCAAGATTAGCACCTTGCCCTTCTATAAAGAAATATGGGTGAAATGAGTTTCAGGAATTTTTCTGTTTGACTAATTAAAGCTCATATTTTGTTTTAAGAGTTAATATGCTAGGGGACTTTAAATAAGGGTCTTCGCTTAATGTAAAAAAGAAATTACACAAATGTTCTGTAGTAATTTGGAGTGGTGGTCGGAACCAATTAACATGCTCTAGAAGTTTTTGAAAATCATTAAAATTAAATGCTGTTAAAGAATTAACAGGTAAATGTACTTTTTGTGGTTTCACTGTTGTTTTGGTGACAATACGACCTAGGTAGGAGAATTAAGATTTTTCTTAAACTTTTTCCAGGGCTATAATAAGCCCAGAGTATTGTAAAGCTCATTAAAGCTGCAATAATAAATGTGTGAGTTCACTACAAATGGAACAGCTACAAAATACGTCACCATATATCATTTTTAGCTTTTTGTAACGGAATAGTAAAAAAGCAATCTTTTAAATCAATAATTATCAAAGGCCAGGAAGTCATAAAGCATTGTCAATTTTCCTGACTTCTTTTCAATAACAAAAACAGGTGAATTTTAAGGAACCCAAACAGGTTTATTAGATTACTTTTGTATTTTGTCAGTTTTATGCATAGAAAAAGCACAAACAGTGGGCAGGAGAAAATAACAGCTCTCATTAAATGTGAAATATTGTGCCCCACAAATTAAGGGGAATTAATTGAGTTTCAACTATGTTTATTCTACTAGTTTAAATTCATCTTTAAAAAATTGATTAGTTGTGATCTATTAGGTAGGCTAAAGCTAACTAATATCTTTTAAAAGTCATTTGAAAATTATTAAAAGTTATTAAGGAATCTTGACTAATTTGTAGTATTTTGGTGGTCTAATTGTAGACTGTGAACCAATATGTCTGAAGTTTAAAGTAAGCAAAGGGTGATTTTTTTTTATACCTTTTAAGGAGTAATTATAAATCTATGAGACTGAAAGGCTTGTTAAAACTTAGGCATTAATAAGGAGAGTTTGGTAGTAGTAGGATAACTGTAAAGTTTATCATCCATATAATAAATCATTTTTGTCTGGGAATATTTTTGCCTAACAGGTATAATAGTTTTTATGAATAAAATTTTGGCCCCTGGTGGGAAACATTCTTTCTTAAAAGAACATAATAAGAAAACTTCAAATACTGATTTAATGGAGACAACTATACCCAAATTCAAACTTAAAACAAAATTAATTATAGTCCTAAGAGTCTTTTACCTCAAAGAGTTAAGTTTCACTAATTATGGCTTAAAGCCAGATACAGTTAATTTTATTTTCATGGAAGTGTAATAAGCAGTAAAGATTTACTAGGACTCACATATATAAGAAATTTTACCTAACATCCTTTCTTTCCCAAATTTAAACTTGTCTTGGTGAAAAAGCCAATTATTAGAAATCATTTATATAAAGTTGCAATTTCTCAGTAAGCTAAATGAATTGTTTAGGAACTCAATAACATAAACAAATTCTTCTCTCAAAGCGGACGACCTTGCTCAGAGAACTGATTACTAAGAGCCTTGGCAAACTTACAAAGTAAAGGGAATTGCCTTGTGCCCCTCCTTTTCACTCATAAGTAATTAAAAAGTCTAAGTTTTCACTTGAAAACAGTGACTTCAAATAACTTAGTTAACAATTTGGTAATTTTCATAAATGATATTTAAATTGTTTTAGTTCTAAGTTGTTTGTTAATCATAGGTAAAGATGGGAATACCTGATTTTCTAATTGACAGTTATAGAATATTATAAAACAAGATTACCTGTACTTGATAAAATAATGTAGCTGGCTTTACACAGCTTTCCCACTATCTTGTAGTTCACATTTCAATAACATTCAAATTATTAAAAACTGCTTGACATAACACATAAAAGTTTACCAATTTGTAATGATAGTAGATTCTTAAAACTTGAAACAAACATATTACTGATTTGAATGAACTACATTATCTTTTGATTGTGTTCCAATACTTAACCTGTTCTAATTCTCATTCTCTTTCTTCCCCACCCTAACTTGGCCAAGGCTGGGATGCGAGAGAAAGGAAGAGAATATTTTTTCAACAACTTATCTTTGTACATTCAAAGCTTTTAGCCAGAGCTTTAGAATGCAAAAAGAAAGAATTTCTTCCTATCAGTTCTCTAAAAGTTTCCAAATCTTTTTGCTCATAAACCCTCTGTTCACACTGTGCAAATAAATTATACCTTCCTTAAGCTTTCAACACATACTCCTCTCATCCCTACATGCTTAAACTTTCTTGTCTTCCTACCACCTAATTATCCCTCTGATGGACTTTGATTAAAGTCCCTTTAAAACTGCACATATCTAACATCTTTCTAATTCTGACCTGACACTTCAAGGATCCTTCTCAACTTGCTTTTTATCAATCATAACCTAAATAATGAAGTATTTTTTTTTCCCATTCTCTCCCCCATCCCGCTCCCGGGAATGCCGCTGGTATTAGGGAGAGGGAAAGCGAGAAAGTCACTAGCAGCATTTCAGAATCCAGTTGCAGCCCTTGGCTGCCTGACAGAAAAGGATCAGACAAATTATAAACATTAATCACAGATCATTATTCACACAGGCACAGACAAACAGAGAACAAAATGACAGGGAGAATCCAAAAGCGAGAAACTTGTCAGAAATCCCCTACACAAAATAAAATAATACTACTTTTTATTTTATTTTATCTTTTCTTTTCATGGTATTCAAAAACCAGGCAAAATCTTTCTTAAGGTTTTGATGTTTATAAGAGGCAAAGCAATCTGTAGTTTTATAGGGATTTCTCATCCTGCCGCTTGAGCCTTTTTTACAGCTCAGGGCATGGAGAGTGTGCAGGGGGCTACAACCAGATGTCCAAAAGTAATTAATAATCCCCTGTCTATTGCTAATGATTTTAATACTTGTAAATAATATTCCTTGCCTTTCTGCTCTGTTGATAAAGCTTGTCCCATTTTTACTGCTTATATTTTCAAAACATACACACTAATCTATTTTTCTAATTCCGCTTAACCTGGTAAAAAAAACTACTTAGAATCTACTACCCTTACCTTGGTTGCCGTCTTTTTTCAAACAGCAGGAATCGCCTCTTTTCCCATCAAGCGATCCTTCTGCTGTCTTATTTCAAACAGCGGGAGTCGCTTACTTACCAGTGACTCCATTTCCCATCTTGTTTCAGGCGGGTGGAGCGCTCCTCATCACAGCTGCTGGCCAGGCAGCCCACCTGGGTCAAGGGCTCCTCACCAGGGAAAGCCACTCTTTCAGGCTCCCAATTGCCCCACGTTGGGGCCACTTGTTGCAGACTTCTGAGTCCACTATGAAGTTATCCAGTGAGGCTGAAAAGAGTGAAAAAGAGAAAGAAGGAAAGAGAGAGAGAGAGAGAGAGAGAGAGAGAGAGAGAGAGAGAGAGAGAGAGAGAGAGAGAGAGAGAGAGAGAGAGAGAGAGAGAGAGAAATGCGGACCAGGGGGTAGCAAGTATAAACAAGCTCCGTTTATTGATCTCAGAGTTAGGGGTTTTACACCCCATTCGTGGGAACAGAATCAAGAATGGAAAAAACCAAGTATCAACAAGTAATTCTTCTCATGGTAACAGTCACTGGGGGCAGTAACCCCCCGGAATCATCTCCTCACTTCCCGATTATCTTTCAAAGTTTATTGACAAATCCTTCATCCTCTCAAGGGACAGACAGTGCCTGGAAGAGGTCGCAGAGCCTACGTTCTGACCGAGACGGCTCTTAGATAATGGACAGGAACACGAACATCCCGACATGACCTATATCCTCAAACCCATCAGTGCAAGCCCTCAACATGAAAGGAGAAACAGAATAAAAGAAATAAGGGGGAAATAGGATGGAGAGAAATACAGTTAGCAAACATAAGTGGTAAAAAAAAAATTCTTGAAGCCAAGTTCCACTGATAAAGGCCTTGTTTCTCAATTACATAGACAAGTCAGTCAAATTTATAAAAATAAGAGCCATTCCCCACCAGATCAATGATCAAAAGATATGACCAGTCAGTTTTCAGATGAAGTAATCAAAGCTATCTATAGCCATATGAAAAAATGTTGTAAATCATTACTGATTGGAGACATGCAAATGAAAAAATTGGGAGGTGCTACCTCACACATACTAGGTTGGCTAATAGGACAGAAAATGACAAATTCTGGAGGGGATGTGGGAAATTTGAGACATTAATATTCTGTTGGTGGAGCTGTGAACAGATTTAACCGTTCTATAAAGCAATTTGGAACTTTGTCCAAAGGGCTATAAAACCATGCATACCCTTTGACCTAGCAATACCACTGCTAGATCTTTATTCCAAAAGATATTAAAAAATACTAAATGGACCTCTACATACAAAAATATGTATAGCAGCTCTTTTCTCATGGCAAAGAACTGGAAATTGAGGGGATAAGCATCAATCGGGAATGGATGATTAAGTTGTGGTATGTAAGTGTGATGGAATGCTATAAGAAATGATGATCAGGGTGGTCTCAGAAAATCCTAGAAACATTTACATGAACTAAAGCAAAGCGAAACGAGTAGTTCCAGGTGAACATGGTACACAGTAACAGCTCTATTATAAGATGATCAGCTATGAATGACTTAGCTATTTTCAGCAATATAAAGATCTAAGACAATTCTGAAGGACAAATGATGAAAAATGCTATCCATCCCCACAGAAAAAACTGGTGGTCTCTGAATACAGATCAAAGCATACTTTTTTTTAACTTTATATTTCTTGATGGGTTTTTTTGGTCTATTTTTTCTTTTATAACATAACTAATATGGAAATATGTTTTACATGACCAAATATGTACAACTTATATCAAACAGCTTACCTGCTCGATGCGAGGGAGGGGGAGCGGGGTAGAGATTGAGGGAGGAGTAAGGGAGAGAATTTAGAACTCAAAAGTTTAAAATGAATGTGAAAAATTGTTTTTACATATAATTGGGGAAAAATAAAATACTAAATAAATATTAACAACAACAACAACAACAACAACAACAACTTAAGTGGACCATCCCGAAGACCCTTTACATCATGTGAATTTACCCACAGAAGTGGAAAAGGGCAGGAGGGAAGTGGGAAGGGGACTGCACCCCTGTGGAGGAGGGGTTGGCACATGGTTCCAGGACACGTGGAGCCTGGGCACTGAGAAGCAAGAGCAGGAGGAGGAACACGTGGCTGGTGGGGCCAGCCACATGAGGGCCCGGCTGGAACTGAAAGGAAGAACATGCCAGCAGGCAGACACATGAAGGCCGGACACGCAAACATTCAGGAAAGGACAGGCCACACTCGGTGGGGACCAGGGACAAACACATTGTACACCCACATGGATGGACAAAATACCAAAATGTAGGGACCAAACTCTCGGGCAGGTGGGCAGAGTGAAACCAAGGTCTCCTCTCTCAGCAGTGGAGGTCTCAAGCCAAGTCCCCATTCAGCAGTGGTGGTGGCTGTCTCTCTGCAGGTCTGTTCTTTCTGCTTTCACTTGGAGGACTTTCTTTTACCTCTTTCTTTGGGGAGAGGGTTAGTGGTGGTAGGAGGCCCAAACAGGAACCAAGTTGAGGGACAGGAGGAGAAAGAGATCCCAGTACAGTATGGTAAAGCAGAGGTGTTTTCTTGGAATGCACATTTCTTATAGAATTCCTTACATAAAGTCGAGTTTGTATAATGTGAATTTCCATGAAGCACCATTTGTCTGTACTCCTTTCTATCCTCATTCAGTTTTCTCCAGAGGTCTTTCATATCTAAGTTTTCTAAAATTCTATCACTCGTCTTAACTTCTTTCTTATTCATTTTATGCTTAGGTTTATCTAGCTCTCAGAACAAAAAGTTGAGGTAACCCACTACTATAGTTTTCCCGTCTATTTCTTCCTGTACCTCGTTTAATTTTTCCTTTAAGAATTTGAGTCCTATGCCATTTCCCAAATATGTTTACTATTGATAGTACTTCATTGTCTGTCATTCCTTTGAACAAGAGGTCGTTTCCCTGCTTACCCCCTTTACTAGGTGTATTTGTGCTTTTGCTTTGATCTCAGGATCATGACTGCCACCCCTCCATTTTTTAATTTAGCAGAGGTATAACAGTTTCTCCTCCAGCGCCCTATTTTAACTCTGTGGTTCTCTCTTTGTTTCAAGCATGTTTCTTTTAAAACAAACAAACACACACATTTTTGGATACTGCTTTCTAATCCATTTTGCTATCCCCTTCCATTTTATGCATGAGTTCATCCCATTCACAAAGTGAGGATGAGGAACTATACATTTCCCTCCATCCTATTTTCTTCTGTTTCTCCTTCTCTCTCTCTTTTTATCCTGTCTCTCCTCTCATTTCAGTTTTGCATATAACCACTGTATTCTTTTATCAGCTTGCCCTTTTATCACCAATTTTTCTTTCTCTTTTTCCATTCTCTTACTTACCTCTAGAGTAAGATGGATTCTTATGACCAATTGAGTAAGTATATATAGATACAGATACAAAATAGATATAGATATTTTCCTCTTTGTGAACCAATTTAGATGTGACTGAAGTTCAAGCATTGGCCACTCTGCCCTGCGACCTTTCTCCACTCCAGGGTAAAAGCTCTTCCTTCCACACCTATTTTATACGAGATCATTTCCCCCATTCTTTCTCTCCCTTCTGCCTTCTCCCAGGGCATCCACATTTCTCACCCATCCCTTTATTTTACATCATCTCAACCTAACTGGTTTCCTATGTAAAAACTTCTTTTTATGCAAAATCCCTCTAACCTATTCTAATAACGACAACATTCTTAAAGATATGTGTATCCTCTTCTCTTATAGAAAAGTAGACAATTTAACCTTATTGAGTCGCTTAGGATTTCTCTTTCATATTTACCTTTTAATGTTTGTCTTGTATTTGAAAGTCACATTTTCTCTTCAGCTCTGGTCTTTTCATCAGGAATGCTTCAAAGGTCTCTACTTCATCATATATCCATTTTTCCCTCCATGTGTTTCTGTAGAGAGTAAGCCTGTGGTCAGTAGAAGGTTCTCAGAGTGTGTGTCTTCAACCCGAAATGTCTTGTCTGCTGAGTGTTCTGAGGCTACGGGTGCTTCCACAGAGAGTAAGCTTGTAGTAACTGGAATGTTCCCAGAGAGAGTGTTTCCTGCCACAAGTATCTTTTCCTCCAGGTGTTGAGAGTAGATGTTTTTTGCCAGAGAGCGATCCTGCAGTAAGTAGAATGTTCCCAGAGAGAGTGTCTCCTGCCACAAATATCTTTTCCTCTGAGTGTTCAGAGAGTAGATGTGTTTCCACAAAACGCAAGCCTGTAGTATCTGGTGTAAGAAAGAGACTGGAAAGCCTCTCTGGGCAAAGAAACCAACCTTGATTATGGGAAACAAAGGTGGGGTCTCAGACCACACTGGGCAGACTATAGACCCCACCAATGCTTCTCTCAAAGGTTAGTTTCTTTACCCAGAAAGCCTACCCAGTTTCTTTCTTACACTGGAATGTTCCCAGAGAGAGTATCTCTCCTGTCACAAGTATCATTCCCTCCAAGTGCTCTGAGACTAGATGTTTTTTGACAGAAAGTGATCCTGCAGTAAGTAGAATGTTCTCAGAGAGAGTGTCTCTCCTGTCACAAGTATCATTCCCTCCACATGCTCAGAGACAGATGTTTTTTGACAGAAAGCGATCCTGCAGTAAGTAGAATGTTCTCAGAGAGAGTGTCTCTCCTGTCACAAGTATCATTCCCTCCACATGCTCAGAGACAGAGTTTTTTGACAGAAAGCGATCCTGCAGTAAGTAGAATGTTCTCAGAGAGAGTGTCTCTCCTGTCACAAGTATCATTCCCTCCACGTGCTCAGAGACAGATGTTTTTTGACAGAAAGCGATCCTGCAGTAAGTAGAATGTTCTCAGAGAGAGTGTCTCTCCTGTCACAAGTATCATTCCCTCCACGTGCTCAGAGACAGATGTTTTTTGACAGAAAGCGATCCTGCAGTAAGTAGAATGTTCTCAGAGAGAGTGTCTCTCCTGTCACAAGTATCATTCCCTCCAAGTGCTCAGAGACTAGATGTTTTTTGACAGAAAGTGATCCTGCAGTAAGTAGAATGTTCCAGAGAGAGTGTCTCTCCTATCACAAGTATCATTCCCTCCACGTGCTCAGAGACAGATGTTTTTTGACAGAAAGTGATCCTGCAGTAAGTAGAATGTTCCCAGAGAGACTGTCTCCTACCACAAGTATCTTTTCCTCTGTGTACTATTTTAGTGGTGTTGACTGCTTTTCCTTCCTAAAACAAAAGATACCATTTGTCACATGGCATGGCTCTCAGAGAGGAGGAGAGGGAGAGGGGGCAATACATGGGATACCATGAAGTAAGATACAGTAACCATGAGTAAAAACTTTTAAATGAGGTCAAGAATCTACAGAGTATTCATGGAGAGGTGGGAAAGGGCAAAAAAAGAGGTTTTGGACGTGCAGAGTGATTTCTTCCACCTCTGCAGCCTCAGGATCAGGGATTGGCTTGAGACCTCTAGTGCTGAGAGAGGAGACTTTTGGCTGCTCTGCCTGTTATCTGCCTGTCTGGTATCTGTGTCTGTCTTCTGTCCACCCACAATTGGGTACTGTGTGTCTTTCCTCATCCATGTGTTGCCTGTCTTCTTCTTCATGTGGCCATGTCCAGCTTCCATACGTCTGTCACCTGCTTGTTCTTCCTCTCAGTTCTGGCCAGGTCATCCATCATGTGACTGGCCCCGACCCTGGCCAGATCCTCTTCCTGCTCTTGCTTCTCTGTCCCAGGCCTCCCCTGTGTCCTTGAACCATCTCCTGGCCCCCTCCCTTCACAGGCCTGTGACCCCCTTCCTGCCTCC